ACTGAGAGCGGACGTTCTCCAGTACAAACTCTGAACGTCCTGTGGAGCACGCACGTGATGCTGGACATACGCCGGACTTGAAGCGAGTCACAGAGATCGATAAAGGATTATATAAACATGAAAGAAAGAAAGAAGTGACACCGTGTCGGATAGATTTAAACAACTTAAGATTGCAATCATGTCAGTTCCGCGGGAGACAAGCCTCGGATCACGAATCAGTTTTTACATATATGCTGATTGCATTATGCAATAAGATGTTATATACATAGATATTATACCATGATTGTTTAACAAGATTAGACTGAACATAGATATCACAAATGACTGAAATTTTGTGCTTGGCTTGATGTTTAAACGCCCTGATCTCATTGATATTTCAGTAGATTTTCTTTCACTTTTGTTTTATATATCTTTTGGCTGGAGATGTTTCTAATATTTACTGGTAGTTGATTGCAGATCACTAGACCTCCTTTTAAATCTTTTGATATATAAGGAGTTACTTTGCCTTATATGGACACCTTTTATGTTATCTGTTGTCTGTATAAGTAATATTATTATGATCTATTAATATTATTATTATCATTGTTATCCTTATTATCAGTAGTAACAGAAGTAGTAATAATAGTAGTAGTGTTAGTTGTAGTAGTAGTATCCTTATTGTTATTAACATTATTATTACCATCATTATCATTATCATTATTATTGTTATTCGCATTGTCATTATCAGAATCATTATTATCATAATTATTACCATCATTATTATCATAATTATTACCATCATTATTACACTTTACTTTCATTATTACCATTACTGATATCATTATCATTTTCATTATCATTACCTTTGTAATTACCATTGCATTAATCATTATCATTATTATTACTATCATTATTATCATTATCATCCTTATTATTATTATTGTTATTGTTATTATCATTGTTATCGTTATTATTATTGCTATTATTGTTATTGTTATCCTTATTAGCATTACTATTATTATTATTGTCATTATTATTATTACTGTTATTATTATTGTTGTTATTATCATTATCATTATTATTATCATTACCGTTATTATTATCCTTATTATTATTATTATTATTGTTATTATTATTATTATTATTATTATTATTATTATTATTATTATTATTATTATCATTATTATTATCATCATTATCATTATTATTGTTATTATTATTATTATTATTATTATTATTATTATTATTATTATTATTATTACTATTATGATTATTATTATCATCATGATCATCATCATCACCATAACTATCATCATCACTATTGTTATTGTTGTTGCTATTTATTCCCCAGACAGGAAAGTAAACCCCTCTGTAATCCCCCCCCCCCCCCCCCGCTTCGTACTTCGTGCCAGCTTACAGAAAACGCGACAGTTAAAGCTCTGGTTGCGTAAAGGCTAATAAGCAGCGGATATTTTCGTTATTTTGCGGCAAATATGAGACTACTGAAACTGTAAATGTGTTATTTATTACGTCATTTCTTTATGCTTTGAAAAAAAAATGGCAGTGTCCATTTCCCTCTATCTCTGTCCGTCACTCTCGGTAACATTAATCAAAATTACTATCATTAGTATTAACATCACTATTCTTAACGATGTTGCCTTTTCCTTAACAATATTATCACCATCATCATCACCATCATCTTTATCATCATCACACCATGATCCTCATCACCATCAACATCATCACCATCATCATCATCACTGTCATTATCATCACCGTCATCATCACCATAATCATCACCATCATCAATATCACCATCATTATCATCATCACCACCATCACCATAATAATCACGATCACCATCATCGACACCACCACCATCATCATCATGACCATCATCACACCATCAGCATCACCATCCTCATGACCATCATCACACCATCATCACCATTATCATCATCATCATCACCATCATTATCATCTTCATCACCACCATCATCACCATTATCATCACCTTCATCATAATCATCACCATCATCATTATCATCACCATCATTATCGTCTTCACTATCATCACCATCACCACCATGATCATCATCACCACCACCATCATCATCACCACTATCATCACCCTCATCATCACTATAAATTGATATCTAATTCACCATCATCATCACCACTATCACCCTCATCATCACTATAAATTGATATCTAATTCACCATCATCATCACCACTATCACCCTCATCATCACTATAAATTGATATCTAATTCACCATCATCATTTTCATCATTATTAATTGATATCTAATTCACCATCATCATTTTCATCATTATTAATTGATATCTAATTCACCATCATCATAGTCAACATCATCATCACCGTCATCATCATCATCATCCCCACCATCTTTTTGTTTCTCTCTCTCTCTCATCACCATCACCATCATCATCTTCATGATCATCATCATCACCATCACCACCACCACCATTATCATCACCATGATCATCATCATCATCAC